ATTTCTTAAGTCACTTTTTAGCTGACTAGTAATTTATTGAATACACGTCACCAACCTTTAGTTATTTATCTTATCTCCTCCACCTGACTTAAAACACGTTTTAAGCATGTAAAAAGATATAATATATTTGAAACCCAAGTAAAACAGTGACAATATAATCTTGTTTTTTATTCTAACTTTATATTAACTTTAATTTTAAAATCAATTTTTAATTGTAATATTCATGTAATTATATGAATATAATAATTTATAATTTATTAGATTATTTTTTATATATTTTATAAATTATTTTTTTAAAATTTATATAACTTATCTATATTATAAAATTTTTTAAGTTTTATATTATAAATTAATAATATTAATTAAATTTAACTAAATTCAATAATTATTAATATATTTGAAAAAAAATTACAAAAAATACAAAGTTACAAAATTCATTTATTAAATAAAAATAAATAGATAAAAGTTAAAAATAAAAATTTAAGAATAGAAATATAAAAAAATATTATTTTTATAATTTTTGTTATATATATTTTATAAAAATCTTTTAAAAAATATTAAAGTACTATATAAAAAAGAATATATACAAAAAAGAATATTATTTATGAATTTAATAAAATATAAAATTATTAGAAGAAAGTAAATCTGTTTTAAAAGATTTTTTGAGTAACTTTATATATTAATTTAGTTTTTAAATATAATAATAAAATAAATTATATAAAAAGAATAATATTATTTATTTATTATCTTTTTGTCTTATAAATAATAAAAAAATTAATACTTTCAAATTTGATTTAATATATTATTTAGATTTAATAAATGAGTAATAAAGATTTAAATATTATAATAAATTTTAAAATGACTATAATATTAAGAGTAATAAATTGTAAAAAGAAAAAAATGTTTGATAAATATTAAAATTATATAAAAATACTTTTAAATAGTATTTGAAAAATTTTTTGTTCAATACCAATAATATTATATAATAAGATATTCAATTTATAAATTATAAATAAAAAGACATCTCAATATAATCAAATTCCTTTATAATCACATCTGTTTATAATCACATCTCTCTATAATCACTATATTTTGCTTTGTTATTTATATATAGACATAGTAAAAAAGTCTTTCTATAGTTACAATCTCTTTATAGTCACCCAATTTTGCTTTCTCAAGAGTAATAACTATAAAGGAGTTTGACTATGGGATTTATTATTAATTTGATATTTCTTATTATGATTATATGCAAAATTATACAAAAAACAATGTTTTGATAAAGAGGTACTGTCTAATAAAAAAAATGCGCGAAAATTGATAATGAATCATTCGTATAGATCCCTTTTGAAAGGTTTACCAATCTTGCAAAAGAAGGTTTTGGAACAATTTTAAACTCTTACAAGTAAGAAAATAAATTTACACTAAAAAGATAACTACAAAGAAGTTGTGTTGAATCATCACAAAATTCAAAACAAATCACATTAGAATTATAAATGAACTTTCTAAAGTGTGTTTTCTAATACAAACAAAATTTTCAGACTGCTAAATTAATCTAATGTCATTTATCTATGATGCTGGCTGAACATACAAACAAAAAAATCAGAGGTATAAGTAATGCAACCACATCTCTTTATAAGAACACGATCGGGAATCCAAAAAAAGTTCTTAAAAATAATTTGTTCTTAATGTGTCCTTATAGAGGTATTTTTTTTTATAAATATATTAGAGTGTTCTTATAAATATATCAGTGTTCTTATAGAGAGGCGTAGCTGTATATTTTTTATGGGTGAATTGAAGCAAATTCCGGAGGGATATAACGACTAGGAAAGTTTCTTTTTATTTTTTTTATATGATGATAAATTATTGGTGAATTTAAATTATTGTGAGTCTGAATTCTACATGGATTTTCTTTTAAATTGATTGGGAAAAAGATAACCTTTTCTAAGTTTATTGATAATATTTCTCGTTGTTGTTGTCGTCGTCCTTGTGCTTTGCTTCGTTTTTGATGGTTTTTATGGAGTAATATTTGTACGGGCATTTGAATGAAAAATCGGGCTAAATGTTTTTGAATTGTAGTTCTTTTTCGAGAAAAAATTATTTGATGAGGAATGAGAGTAGAAATATAATTATAAGTAAGAATGCTGCTTTTGCTGTTATTTCTGCTGTCTCGGGTTATCATTTTTTGGTGCAGCATTTTTCTTTGGTTTAGTTTATGGATTTCGAGATAGTCAATGTTATCAAGTTCACTGAATACCAAGAACCCAGTTTTTTGCTTGGAAAAAAAGAATTTCAAGTAATAAATTAAAATCATCGAATTTTTCATTGTGGCTCGATTGGTAAAATTGGATTTTTAATGTTTCGCGTCATTCTAAGCTCAATATTTATATTAGTGTTAGAGGTTTACCGACAGACGCACGTGTATAAATGTAATTACTAAAGCAGCATCATACACGTACATAAAACAAAGATAACAATAATCTCATTGAAAAAAAATACCGATAAAGATTTTCTTATATCGGTTGTTAAATTATCTATACGTATTGATATATCAATATCAATATCGATATCTGTATCTATATCTATATTTAGATATCGATATCTATCGCTATAGGTCTGTGTAGAACGTGAATTACGCCACATGTAATTTAGATAACAATTAAAAATACCGATAACAATTTTCCTTTTGTTATGGTTTTTATTGATTCGTACACTTGAATTAAATTTTTCGATAAGAAAGAAATTGATTAAATCATTCAAGCTGTAGTCCGTTACACTCAGACAAAAAAACGACAGTCTACTATCCTGTTCACGAATTTTATCTCAGGAAGATGTTTGATTTTTGATTTTCAGGTATCGACCAAAAGTGTATCTTGAGATGATGTATCTACTATATATAAATATGGATCAATATGATCTTGCATAGGTTTTATATTTCTACTCGGCTCAGGCGCCTTGTAGCAACACAATACGTACATCTTTTTATAATTTCCATCTGCATCTCCTTCAGTGCAAAAATCTTTTCACTAGACGGCAATTTCCATATTGTATTCATGGATGTATAACAATTGGACACAAATATGCTATCATGACAGAATCTGAAGCTTAGTGAGAACCTTCCGCGACAAAAAGATCGTTAGTTTAAATTTCCTTCCACTGACTGAAGAAAAGCTCAGAAGTTATCTAACGCTTATGTTTGTATACTTTCACGATTAAAAAAAGATTGAATTTAATAAAGAATAGTTTTTATTGTAGCTGTTTCATGCAGTTTTTCCTGTTCGACACTCGATATCTCTGACCTCGTGAAGCGTGCTTATCTAAATCTAAATATCGATATGTAATGTTTTCACGTTACGGTAAAATGATACACTTATCATAAACAGCACTAGTAACGAAAAAAATGAAATTTTTTCTGCTCTATCAATATGGTTTTTTTTTCGTCGAGTTTTTACGCCATCGCTGTCTACTTTACAAAACGAAAAAACAAATTAATAGTAATAGCGCGACGAAAATAAACCATGTAGGCAAACGAACAGACAGGTTCCATATAACTGAAGTATTCGAACCGATTTCTTTTGTGGAATTGATTCGAAGCAGATGGTCGGAGATATGGTGGATGTTTTTTATGTTTAAGTTTGGTTGAACGAGGCGAAGTCATCCCAAAATACTTTATTTAATTCTTCGTCGTCTCAACAATATCAGTCAAAGTGTATTCATTTTTTTATTTATCAACAAGTAACTTTAAATTCGATGAAGATGATAACTCTTAACTCTTTTGATATTCATTAACATTCCGTTAAAACTTTTATGAATTGTTTGTTAAAGGCTAAACAATCAAAGAATAAAAACTTGGTTAATGACGATAATACTAACATTCACGATAACTACATGACATTGTTTCATCAGTAAAACTAGAAACTCAACTACTTGCAACACTTAAGATGGATGCGCCAGCTATCCATGGGTTCCTGCATAGAAACTTACTAGAAAAGAAATTATCCATGTTGTAAAATTCTATATTTTAAACATACTACCACCGTGTTTGATTGTTGTAATCTTTTTTTGCAAAGCAAAACCTAATACTAATAAACTTTACGCGTAAATTTTGCAACATACAATTAGCATTCTCGCTCTCCTGTTTAATATAATATTAACATTTATTGATTTCTTCGTAAGTTTTTCAATTAGTTCTGGAATATTTCACGCATCGAGCTGAGCCAATTTCAAAAATGCCGTCGTATTTTTGTGAAGAACCAATAATAAATCTGCTAAATCGTCTCGTAGTTGGTATGTACCTCCGAGAATGGGGAATAGGAAGCGGTTTTTCCCGTGTAAAATATGCAATATAGAATCGAACAACATAGAGAATTGATAAAATTAAAAGAATAGAATATCGAAGAAATCTTACTGACTCAAGAAAGTGATGGCCGCTGATGAAGTTTGGCATTTTGACCATTTCCAATACAATCTTGAAGAATTTTTGACTAATGTTAATAAATAAAGCGATTATTGTTATGACTTTTAATGGTTATTTGTCAAATATTACCGTTAAGGAACTTACATATATTACATACATAACGATAATTATCGATATATTAAGCTCTTGTGATTGAAAGCATACACGTATCTTAAGATGAAAATTATATTATGCAATATATCTAACTTTAGCAAAATGCTAAACCTCGTAATAATGTTAGCGTCAGCTTCACTAAACCTGATAGATTTCTCTATTGTCCGATTCCACAATGTACTGTTTACTTTTCACATGAAAATCCTCTTCCGGGAACCATCATCGGGAATTTATATCAATTACATGGTGTAATGGGAATATTGATTATTACATCTTTATTACGTAGTTCAACCAAAACCGTAAAATAGTTCTAAGCAATTAAAGATTTACAATGAATTATGCTAATCCACAAAGGGGAATGTTTTTTAATGAAAATCACCCGTAAAGTTATTAGTGTCTTCGTGAAGGTTGCAATAATTACAATCTTGTGAAAAAGTTTGTAGGTCATTTTTCTTGTTATACAGTGCTCGTCAGAAGTAACAAATTTCCCTAGCACAAAGAACATTACAAATGCTGATCATTGATGCTTCTATATCGGGGTGTTCATACATCAAATACAATAAATCTATAGATCAATTTTTCATTAGAAATTGGTCACCAAAAAATGAATCGGTCAATTTAGGATGTAATATATATCTCCCGTGAACGAATTGTCTAATCAAGACGAGTCGAATGTTTGAATCGGATCACTGGAGATCGAAATATCACGTCCTGAATTAGCTGAAAATGAATCTGCTACTTAAGATGTAATATTTCGGCGTCCAGTGATCCGATTTGAACAAAAATACTATCATTCGATTCACCTCGACTAGGCGAATTGAACGGCAGTATTTTTGTTCAAATCAGATCATTGGACGTCAAGAATTGGATTATTGAATATTGAGGTGTGTTATGAAATAACTGATTATATTTGGAACGTGAAAGTTTATGAACATACAATACCCAATATTGAAGCTTTACCAATCTATAAAAGGTATTAATGATCAGCATTTGTAAATGTTCTTTGCGTTCGGAAAGTTGTTACTTCTGACGAGCACAGTAATGAATTTTTACATATATAATCAAATTTCTTTATAGTTATCATCCATGAGGAAGTGTAATAGGGAAGTACGACTGTGATTATAGAGACTTGATTATTATATTTTACTAGGCAATTAGTTTTATACTACATGTATTATAATTAACATTCGTTAATAGCTTAGTATTATTTCTAAATGCAATAGCAAAGTAATGAAATAACAAAATAATCAATAAAATAATTAACTAGCTAAATAAATATATAAAAAGAACAAGTATAGACAGACAAAAAATTTAAAAAGTTTAAAAATTAAATCTTAATAATTATTTTAATTAACTCTTCTTATATTTATAATTATCGGAATAGGTTATGTCAATAGTTTTGTTTTAAATAGTACATTACGTATTAACTATTTTTGTTATAATAAGTTATTTATCTATAAACTTATCAGTTTTTGGACTCATTTAATAATTCTCTCAAAGAATATATATTATTTGAATAAATACATTTCCAAGTGTCAGGTCATGTGATTCCGATCACGATACTGACCATTCTTAAAATCATGCACCAATCAAATCGCAAGATTAATGTGTAACGCAAAAATTGGGAGAGGGATGGCCAAATCTCAGGTATTAATATAATCTCACATGTTAAATGAAATATTACGTGAATTACTCCAGTTCATTCACGATCGATTTTTTCTTCACGTGATTTTTCCGATCCCTGACGATCTCGAAACCAATGAGGGTGCGCAATTTTGATCAACCCGGCAAAACAAATCCGCACAAGAAAATGAACAATGCAAAAAATACGGGAAATAGATGCCTAAATCTAACTTGTAGCACTAATAAAAAATGACGGAAAGACAATTTTACGTATAACCTTACTCCAGCTTTAACCCTAACCTTTGATTAGCGCGGAATATTTCAGGTAATTGTTGTGGTAGGGAAGGAAAAGTCGATCGTGGGTGAGTTTGGGTAAAATGTATTATATATACCTGTATTTTCTCTGATTGGATTTCGGGCTTTTTAATATTCTTTTGAGTATGTGATTATGATAAATTTTATCGAACCCAATTTCAAATTTCCTAACCTGTAATTCATCCAATAGGAGTGCGCAAATTTTTTCAATAGTACAAATTTCTGATCGGCCCTGCAAAACAAATCCGACTCAAAATGATGAAAAAAGTGATATTACGAGAAACCTGATGCATAAATCTGTTTTGGACTATTAATTAATGTCGGGAAGGCAATTTTACATGTAAGCATTTCTCACCCAATACCTTATCCTTACCATGACTCAAATCGGATGTAATGAAAATTCAGAATCCAAATTAGGAAATTTGAAATTGGGTTCGATAAAATTTGTCTGTGATTATTGGTATGATTTACACTGCGTAGCCAACAAATAGTTATACACGTGACTCGTTTTAAATTAATGTTAGAGGCTATTTTATCGCTTGTGTTAGGGTTAGGGAGCTAATGTCATACGTAAAATTGCCTTCCCGACATTTTCTATTAGTGCTTCAAGCCGGATTTATCGTCTTATTTTGTGTCGGACTTGTTTTCCGGATTGATAAATTTGCGCATTCTTATTGGTTTATGCTACCCGGCAAGAGAAAATCTACACGTTCTTATTGGTTCGTGAGCACGTGATGGTGACTTTTTGTTGGTAGTTTGCCGTGTAGTTATCACTTTCTAAAAATCTTTGTTATTAACGTTAATAGCTTTGATGTTAAATTTAGATTTGAATTTTCTAAAAAGGGGGGGGGGGGGTGCTTATACAAATACGGTACATTGGTGCTTGTGGAAATAGATGAAAGCCAGATACGTACATTAATAGTAGATTTCTTTATATGGTAAGCTTTGGTAAATTTTTTGTTTAGCGTTAGTATATTTATATATTTGAAAAGTTATGGTAGAGAAATCTGCTAAGTGTCGGAAATTTATCTACACGTGACTGTGTAGTAATATACATGTATACTTGAGAAATTTTATGTAGTATGTAACGGTAAGTTTCTTTGAATCAAAACATTACATAGGAAAAAAAGTTGTCGAGTATAGAGTTCTAAAATAGTTATTACGGATGAAGCGAAGCGAATTGTGGTGGAATTGTATGATGGGGGCTTTGTGGTTGTCGATTGTAATTTGTTCGAAGACTTTGATGTATTGACCGCCTATTATTGTCATTATCATTATAGTTGTTATTATTGGTATTGTTGGTACTGTTGGTGCTGTTGGTATCGTTGGTATTGTTGATATTGTTAATAGATGTTGTGGGAAGAAACTTTTGATTTGATGATGTGTAATACATTTTTTTTAGTTTGTCAGTAATTAACAGGAATTCGAGTTACTTCTTTCCAATGTTGTTAATTTGTTATTGTTGATAGTAATTAATATAAGTATGCGTGTTAGTTGTTTCTCTTATTTCCCAAATGAATAGCGATAGGCGTTAAAAGTGAAGTTCTGAGACAAATCTTTTATACTTATTGCTATTGATTGAATAAAATGATCAATAAACAAAAAAAAGTGGCACGCTAATAAAATGTATCACTTTTACTGTTGATACGTACACAAACAAATGATTCGAAAAAGTAAGAGAAATTTTTCAAAAACAGAAGTAATGGTGAAAAGACTCGCATTTTTATAAGCAAGTTTCGAAATTGCTTATCGTACATACGATAACTGATAGCAGATTACACAAACCCAAACCAGAACGTTTCTTGATACAACCATTGTCCGCGCGCTTTTTCTATTCTTTTTTTTATTGATATTGCATTTTCACATGCATGCATGCAGAAAGATAACAAATGAGTAACTTTAGATAACATTAAAAAGTGATACGTATCTCTATTTTGTTATTTATATGTGACTCCGCAATTTTCCATATAGAGGAAGTTGTTAATTTACTGGATGAAAATCGCTAAACAAAAAACATTACTATCCTAATTAATACGAGAAAAAATACAAGAATACGTGGTGTAACATGAATGAACAAAAAGAAAGACGATTACCTTATCGTTATGCGTTGTTGTACTTATATCTACGTAATCACATTATATGATCATCTACATTAACCCCGGTAAATGGTTCTTTTCGCTTGACGATTGAGGGTTTGAGTGTGTGACGCTTTGTTGCGTATGTGTAAAGGTATTTCAGGGGAACTCCTTTCTTTCAATATCCTAATTTATCATGGTTAGTGATACGATGTTTTGATAAAATTACAGTATAAATGATTACCATATGACTGCATGTATCTTGTTATCACTCGAACAGTGTGAAACTTGGAAAATTCCTGCGTTTTTATTTATCGTCATGTAAGGTGTATCTCGAAACTTTCCATAACACAAGAACTAAAGCCGAGTTAATCAAAATTTCAAACGACGAAATATTTATTACGAGAACCTTTAGAAAGTTGTGCATTTACGCTGAAAACTTCATGTAGTTAGTTTGGCTTGCACACAGAACTTATACGCGTCTAGAAGAAATTCGGGGAAATATCTTTTTAGCACCTGGAGTTGTCTCAAAGTTCATATATATGTTCATTTTGTTAGATTAGTAATTATTATGTACTCCACAAAAAGCAAACTTTGTGCATTATTTTGTATGCTATAATTCATAGTTGATAATGCACTTACTACGTATAACGATAAGGTTACATAACGATAATGAAAGAGTTACATGTAAATCAGGAAGGCAAACAAGAACTAAGCGTCTTTGTGATCTATACAAGGTGTATTTAGTAATTAATGATTAGTCTAATTTCTCCTGTGGAAATGATAGTTTTAATTTCTCCTGTGGAAATGATAGTTTTTTGTACAATTCCTTACGTATTTTTATTCTTTAATTTCATTTATAGCGCTAGTATTAGCATTTACATGCACTTTCATTAGAAGTTAGTTTAGTATAACAATTGTCTCCCAATGCCTTCGTAATAATCACTGTCTTTACAGAAACCCGATAATTCGCAGAACCTAAGTAATCAGGTAGCATGTCTCGTCATGCATGTATAGCAAATGCATCTTTAATTTCGTTGATGATTACGTAAGTGGGACTGGCATTTCTTTCAATAGTGATTAGATATTGCATAGATCGATAGACAATGCTTCGATTATTCTCAAAGAACTTATCGAACTTAATTACATAAACCTATCAAACTTCTTTTGCACTTAAGGAAGAATGGCAAATTCAATGTTAAAGTCAATTTTAGTGAGAAAGTTGCCTTGACTTTTCAGTGTCGCTAAAACGAATAATTCCGTAAGAAAAAAATAATAGTTATCTTATAATAAATATTATCTCGAAAATTATTTACTCATCTATTTATTTGAGATTCGAGAATAGTGTTCTAGAATTAGAGGTCCGAACCGATCATTTTTTATCGATTATTCAGTCATTCATAGCTAAGTCAATCGATTAAATCCGATTAACTAAGGATGATCCGTCGATTCATTTAATCACAAATCGGATCACTCGGATGACCCGTCGATTCTGTTAATTGCAAATCGGATCATTCAGATGATCCGTCGATTCATTTAATGAGAAATCGGATCATTTGAACGTTCCGAGTGCGTGTAGTATAGTGTATTCGATCCAAGATAAATGAACTAAATTTTATTTTATTATTAAATATCAACTATACCTAAAATATAAAAAAAGTTCAAAATATAACTTATTGAAATTAAATTCTCCATAAAATTGTGATCCGGTTATTCATTGTCAGTCGATTATTATAACCAGTCAGTCAACTCCGGATTAGATCGATTACAGACTGAACGATTCAGACCACACTATCTCGATTTCCGTAAACATAAATGAAGAGAGGAAAGAATCGATAGATTCATGTGATTATAACTGATTTCAAGATAATTGCATGTAGATTTTATGCGATAACGTGTAGCTATTGCGAAGAAAGAGGCAACAAATTTAGAGTCGATAAAAAATTATTTGCTCTGATGATTGATTAAATAGCGACACTTGCATTATTGAAAAAAACAGAATTTGGATACAAATGATTTATTTTTGTTTTAGACAATTGCTTTCAATTAACATGCTATACCGTATTTTGCCGCATCAAGTACTTTCCCTCTTGGAGAAAATTTAAACCTAAACCAATCATGTTTCTGTAAAATGAAGCATTCAAGATTGACGGTGCGATTTCTTCAAAAAGTTTCAAGCCAAATTTCTTCGGAGGATACTTTATGTGACAAAATACGGTAGCTTGCATGAGAGTGATCCACCACGTGGAAATAAAATCAATACTGTTTCACTATTCTCGTTATAAACAAATAAACCATTGTTCTTTGAAAAATCATTGCTAAAAATATTAGAAAAAAAGTAATTAAATTAATTCCCCGATCGGGGCTAATCGTTATTGTTTTAATTATTACACAAATACGACGAGATGTTTATCTAATCACACCATAAAAATACATCTTCTCTCCTAATCTTGATATTGTAAGTTGTTGTGACTAGGCTGTACTATTTGAAATAGAAAAGGTAAAATTTACCAAATTTTAACAGTCTACAATCCAAAATATTTTATACTCGTAAAACTGAGAAATAAATTAAAAACACATTATATAATTCAGATTAAAGTTTTGTTTAGTAATTATATTTATTTAATATATATTTTATAACCAATCTTGCTAAAGAAGTATTTTTCAAAAAGTTTATATTAATTCTATATTTTATTTTTGAAAATACTTCAAGTACAAAAATTATTCTGTGCAATTTTTCTATTGATATTGTCAAGTTATTCAGCATTATAGTTATTTAATAATAAATAGCTCAAGCAGTAACTAATTTTTTTAGTTAAAGATTTTTTAATATTTATAATAGTTAACGTTATATAAGGGTAATTGCTTTATATTTACAATATTTGAAGCATTATAATATTGCTATTATATATTATTCTATAGTAAAAATTGAATATTGTACTAAAATAAGATATTTTTAATTAAAATGTATAATTAATTATAAAAAATATTTACAATCAATCACTTTGTAATCAGAAAATTTTTATGTTAAAATATAGATGATTATTGTTATTTGATACAAAAATGAAAAACATCTATTAATAAAAAAATGAAAATTTTAATTTTATTATAAATTCAGTGTCTTTTCTTTTTTCAGAATGGTGTATAATTTATTTTTGTAAATCTCTAATTTTGAAAAAATTTTAAACAATTATTGATTTAGACCTTTATAAAATAATGTTATGTGATACTTTCTTATAGTGACAATCAAAAGAAATGCAACAGCGTCAAAATTTGCTAATAAAACATAGTAATGCGCGGTTTCAATTTTACTAATCATTATTTTTTGTTTTCATATGAAAACATAAATAATAATCCATATTTCAACATATTTTTAGATTTAATTTACTAATTAGTAGGTTTATATGGTGCAAAACAGCCTGGTCACACCTGAAAATTTTGCAGATCATTACTTATAAATTGAATATGATTGGTCAGATTTATTATAAGTGATTATTATTTTTATAAAATAAATACGTTACTTGATAGTTCAAAAATCTATTAAATGACGTAATTTTTTTTCTACATTTAAAGTACATATAAAAAATCCTTTGCGTTTGAAAAATAGTCAAATATTGGATGTCTTTAAGCTGTTCGCACCATGATTAAAATATAAAAAATCTGAATTATTTATTTTTTATATAAAAATAAATAAAAAAACCAACTATCGAAAATAAAAATATCATTCCTTTTTAATTATTCCCATTGATAAACGGTAGAAACTTTACTCAACTTCTTAAAGAGGCTAAAAATAAGCTTGACAATCAAGATAGCGATAATGCCTCAGTTTTTTCATTTATTTAAGTCAGGAATATCATTTCTGGATTAAGTAGAAAATAAATTTGCACATTTTTATGCTATTTTCTTTTCTCGTCGTCTTGTTTACTCATCTAATCGATTTCACCCAAGCAATACCTTCCTCAGACCTTTCTCGCAAGAAGTTTTTTTGTTTCCTTGGTTTAGTGATGTTAGCGCATAGAGAGAATAGGAAGTCCTTTCCCTGATTTCTTCGATTTTTTCTCTATCTTTTCAATCTTTTAATATAGATTCCAAAAAGAAACGTGTTGTACTCTTTCCAATCGGGATCGTGTGATTTTTCAATACCGAGTTAGAGTTGTAAAAGACTTTCCACAATCTGAGTGTGAACATATACGTATTGCGATGACGAGCTAGTGATGAAGACTATTTTTTGGTGAAAAGAATTGAATTGAGAATATTTTTATAATGAAATACTCAACGACCAAATTGACGAATAAATAAAAGAAAAATAAAAAAATGATTTTTTTAGAGAAATAGAGAGAATAAAATATATAAAAGATTTGTTAGGTGATTAACAATTAAAGATAAATACTTGCATCATTTAGCAACCTGTTTGTTCACAAGTATGCAAGTATGAGTTCGAGTCAACGACGATCGTTGTATAAGTTGTTCTCCACATCCTTGCCGGTCACAATAATATGAACGTTCTCCGGTGTGAATCCTTCTGTAACATGCGAGATCCGATCGTCTCGAGAAAGCTTTACCACTGATCGAAATATCAATCCTAATATTATTTCTTGGAATAGTAATTTGATTGTCAACTCTTACGTATCTATGGCAACAGTAAGAGTGCAAGTTATCAAGATGATTGCATTCAGCGCATTACAATGTATATGTAGGCATGTACAGTCAAATGCACACACTTACAATTAAATTATTTATAATTCCCCTGTAAAAACCTCCAATGTTTTTTATCCAGAAAATCTACAAATCGTAATTTTGTGCAGATTCCAGAAGTTCTGGATAAAAAATGTTCGAATTTTTGCAGTAAAAGTACTCACGTTATCAAATATAATAATATCTTTCAAATATTTGTAGTAATGTTAATCATCTCAAAAGTATATAAATATATATATATGTTAAAGAAAGTTTATTTATATAATACGTATTAATTTGTAAATATAAATTATTATTTGCGAGTTGAAATGAGTTTAAATTTAGTAAACTAAAAGAAAAAGTCGGTTTGATTCACTCCATCCTCGATTTTAGGAGAGCTGATATGGACATTAATCAAAACTGGATAATCAAAATCGAAGTCAAGAGTTGATGGGCTGGTGGAAGAAAACATGTTCGTATTACTTTCGGCGTGGTCGGAGTCGTTTTGATTCATTCCATCCTCGATTTTAGGAGAGCTGATATGGACATTAATCAAAAACTGGATAATCAAAATCGAAGTCAAGAGTTGATGGGCTGGTGGAAGAAAACATGTTCGTATTACTTTCGGGGTCGCAGTCGTATCCAAGAGACATCATTGAATAGTCTGGAGTAGGTGATCCAACAAAAGTAAAATTTGTGGTAGCTACATTAATAGTATTGGCCGCATAATTAGGCATAATTATATTCGAAGTATTTGCGGTGTTTTCGTGAATGATGCCAAAAGCTGACCAATTAAATTTATTTTTAAGCCATGTCGAGTATCGTAAATTTCTTTGGCTTTTTAGCTAATTGTTATATTCGTTTTTCACTAGTTGTGGTTCTTTAGCCCATAATTCTGCGATAACAGGTGAAGCCCTTTTCATAGGAATAAAATTTTATTCTCTTTCATTTGTTTGAAACAAGATTTTCGATAAGTAAAAAACGCGTTGGAAGTCTTTTTCGGAACATTTCCTTTACGTGTAGTATTAGGAACGAGTCCGTTTGCGGAAATATTTGGTGGGTAAGTTGGTCTAATAAATCCTGCTAATGTTTTGACACTATATGCGGACATAAGAGAATTTCAGTATTTTATTTATAGAATCCAGCAATATTCTTTTATATGTACGTAGTTTCGTGTCGATCTGACATGTATTTTACTAAAGCCAATGTAACAGATAAATGAATACAGTCGTGTTTTTAACAAGGTTTTGAGAAGTAACCCATTCATAACGATAGGAATTTGCTTTATCGTGTATATGATTGAAAGGCTGGTTGCTAATGGTTGGCTTGGCGGCTGGCAAGGTTTTGTTAACTTGGAGGCGAGAAATGCCTATTTTCTGGCTTGATTTTTGTTGAAATCAGCCTTTTATTTTGCTTCAAAGTTGAGTCATCATCCTCTTGTCTATTACAATGCAGTTTCAATAAAGCCATAGTGTAACAGGAAAAATTAGCGTACTTCTCCTCTAATTTGGAATCCATTGAGTTTATGAATCTTGTGTTTAATGTAGTGAGTCTTTCTTGTACTATGAATCCTTATGTAAATCAATTGCTCACTATTTTTCATTTACAGAACTTAAAGTGCAATAGCACCGAAGTTGAGAAATCGAAATTGGATTCTAATAATCCCCTAATCTGAGCATTCCGATCTCCCCTATTTTCCGGGATACGCTAAAGCAATATGGATGACATATGAGGACTTTTATGTGATTGGCTGATCTTAATCAATTACTCGAGTACAACTTGGGTATTTAATTTATACATTTTAAAGTACTTTTATGGGAATATGACTAGAACATCACATTACTATTAGTAGAAAATAAAATAACTATTGTTTTTAGTTACAAAAAAGCATTAACATACTCACGCAAAATAATCTCAAAATAATCCAAAACCCAGAAGTACTTTAAACATGCCACTATCAACTTCTCTTACTGGTCTATACATAATTACAATATGTCAAAGATAGTCAAACTGATGGAAAAAAATGTTATTGTCAAAGATCAAGCCAATAATATTTTACCAGATTATATTCAAATAGATGATACAATTTGTTTAAATTGTTATAATGGAATTGTGATAAACAGTTTATGTGAATTTTAGCAACATGTTCAAGCTAGTAAAAAATGAGGCAAACTTGATGAAATTGAGAAGATTGATGAAACTGAAAATATTAATATCATTTTATTTTTTTTCCAAGCAATAGAAATTATAACTAATATTTTATATATTCATGAAAACAGAGAAAAAAATTAACATTATACTCATTTAATAAATTTTGTGCAATTATGAAAGGGAAGAATACAAAATTAAAATTCTTTTTTAATAAGTTATATATTTTTCATCTAACTTATTCACAAAAATAAAAATTTATAAGTACAGATCAAAAAGTAACTCTAATGAAAATAACATAATTATGTTATTTTCACTTAGTTTAGATTATGACCAATCAGATATGACATGTGAATTACAAAACTCAAGTTATTTGAGTAATGAATAAATTACAAAACTCAAGTTATTCGAGTGATGGGTGAATCACAAAACTCAAGTCATTTGAGTGATGAATTGATCATAAAACTCAAGTCATTCAAGATAACTTATATATTCTTTAGAAAGTTAAATTCAATATCAATAATATTTTAATCACTTATATAAAATTTCATATATTAGCTTAATGTTCTGATTAATTTTTATTGAATATAAATATTTGAATTAGGTTATGATATCCTAGTCTAGTTCTTCTGTATTTTTTATTAGAATTCAAATTTGATAATAATACTTGTATATTAGTTTAATATTTCTAATCAATTTCTAAAGGCAAATAATCAGAATATATATTATTAAGTATATTATATATATATTATCTAAGACACATTATCTGATTATACTATATATATGATATTTAATTATGCTATCTATTAATGCTATTAAATATATATACTAAGTAAATTATATAAATACTATTAATAATATTATTATATATATACTATCAGATTATACTATTCTAATTATACTATCAAATATATTATATAAATACTATCAAAAAGTATTATCCAGTTATGCTATTGAAAATACTATCAAAAATACTATCAAAATATAATTGCTTATATTTACTATTCTAGAATGTAATTAAAATAAATCTGCTTGTATTCTAATAAAAAATCTGTTCTGGTTTTGTTCTAATAAAAAAAAGTTAACTGAAACAGATTCAATATAGAAGAAAAACTTTAAAAATATTTTTATCTTGTTTTTTTATATTTATTATCTATCTATTCTAGTTATTCTAGTAAAAAATAATATTCTAAATTTATCTATTCATGATATACTTATATTATACATATAATATATATTTATAATATATATAGTATATAAATATATCATATCATATATATAATATACCTATAGATAAAATAAGAAAAAAAAGTAAGAAAATTGAAATTTTTTTAGAATAACTAAAATAAATAGTCTAAAACTCTTTTATTTATCTTGAAATTGTTAACAAATATATTTTTTTCATTATAGTTCATGTTCTAGAATGAATTTTTTTAGAACATAATCTTTAATATATATCTACATATTATATATAGCTTATTAAGAGTTTTTTATCTTGAATTTATTCTAAACTAGCTTTTTTAGCTTCTTCTAATAGTAGTAGACTTTAATGTAATATTTATCTACATATAAATTATATAAACTATATTTAGAGATGATTAATTTATTATATTCTAAACAGAGAATACATTAGTACCTTTTTCAATAAATAACACATTCTTCTTGTCAATAGCAGGATCATCCACAGATCTTTCTCTTATTGAAGAAATACTGATAAAAATAAATACTTGTCATTTCTAATTATAATTATTAATAATATTATATTAGATAAAACTAATTAATTAATAATTTTAAATTAAATTTTTTTCTCAGGATAATTCAAAATATTCTTAGTTATTATAAGTATTCAAAATTTTTAAGAAAATATTAATCATACATCAGCAAAGACAAGAGTATCATCTTCTCGATCAGAGAGTCTAAAAAATACTAAAAATTTGAATCAGAGATAGAGAAAGAAAATAATATGACTTTCTATCATCAAGATTTTAAAGCTAAAAGTGTAACTGAATATATATATAAAATTCACAATAATAGTATAAGATCAAGATAATTTCTTGATACAGATACTGAAGATAGAATAAAAGTTATACTTAGTAAATAATGAGGATATTCATTACATGAAATTATTGATAATGATGATCTACTTTATTTTATTATCAATTTTAATTTATCTTCAAAAAAATTTAATAGAATCAAATTCAAGCTTACACCTAAAAAGACAAAAAATAAACTTTATAATACTTTTACAGAAACTTATTTGAATATATTTTCAGAATGGAATAAAACTACTATTACTATTACTAGTAGTAGTGATTCAAAAAAAATGTCTTATCATATTTTAATATTTGGAATACATCTTAAGAATATTATCAAAGTTATAGTATTTATCAAACTCATTCATAAGAAACTTTCAGTGGATTTACAAAAAAAAGAAATTGTTGATAATATAATAAATAAAAGATCATTTTCATTACAAATGCTTGAAATATCAAAATTTATTGAAGAAATAAGAGAAAATGTATATATAAAGAAAGTATTAAATTCCAAAAATAGGAATATTTTTGATTTCATACTTTAGAAATTCCAAAAAAATAGTGAAAAATAGCAAATTTGATAATGAAACTTTTGGAGCTGAAGTTAATTATGTAGAGAAGTTACTCAAGATAATGAATATTAAATATTTTAATATTTTATATCCAACTCCTATATCTCTAAATATTTTTACTTTAAGATATATATTGTTATCATTTTGATTGATTTTCAAAATACTTAAAGATATTTATAAAATTTAAAAGAGAACTTTCAATATTTTAATGATAATTTAAAGTATTAATAATATTTTATAACTATTAGACTGAATATGAATAAGTACTAATGATAAAATTACTTAAAGATTGGTAACAATTATATTCTTTTAAATACAATAATCTGGACTGCTAAAAAGAATTCTCAAAATCTCAGAATCAAAGTTATAGAAATTATAATATTCATATTATCAGCAATACAAGATTGAAGATGAATAATGTATTATTAGCAATATTAGCAATACAATATCAAAGGTGAATTTATGAGTAATATATTATCAGCAATACAATCTCAAAAACAGATTTATGAATTATAATAATAATTTCTTTATTCATATAATGTTTATTAGGTTTCATTACAAATGTATTCAGATAATCTAGTATTAAGATAATAACTTCTATAGCACTCCTGGCAATCTTGCTTAAGCTACTATAATATTGATTCAAGATCTGTAATTTCATGAAATTGTGATAAGTCTTGGACTTGGTTTCCAGCTGATTCGCACTGAAGCTTTTTTTCTCTGTTTCTATCTCTTATCTCATTACTAACCCTTTCTTTAACTTTCAAATCCACAAAATCATCGACCTCTTTATCTTCTGGCGATATGAGCGAGTTGGATGGACGGGTATCGGAAGAAATATCGTTTTGCAACTGCTTCTGTTCCAATTTCGCGATCCTAGCCTTAAGCTCAGCATTTTCCTCTGCAGTCTGTTCCAATTTCGTGACTCAGACCTTAAGCTCGGCATTTTCTTTGGCGGTCTGTTCTAACTCCACGATTCTGGCTTCGATTTCTTCTTTATCTTGTTTTAATTTTGTATTCTCAGCCTTGACGTCAGCATGCTCCTTTCTAAGCTCAGCAATCGTGGCAATGAGTTGAGAATTTAATTCTTGCAATGAATCGATTTTTGATTGAGTGTCTGACATTGTTTATACAAGATGCGGATATATTCAAAAATTTATTAAAAATCACATGACTGACAGTGGCGAGAAAAATTCTCGAACTATTTCACCTCGAATATACAGATGTCTAAAAAATATCACCTCATGATGACAAGCCTGACCCTGAGAAATAATTACAATTGATATGAAAATTATCAAATGAAAAATACAAATTCCTTATTAGAATGAAATAAAGCATGCTTCTGACGACCAAATTAATTCTCCTCATCATTAGACTCTTCTGACTCCTCCGACTCCTCTGAAAGTGATTCACGAATTTTGGCCAATACCGTCAACACTACTCGTCTTCCTTCTGGCTCAGCAAGGTCAAAACCAGACCTCAAATCATTATTAGCAGGCCATCTTTGAACTTTAACTGACTGTTGTTGCAGTAGGCCTTTTTCAAGCTCCACCAAATACATTGCAGGAATCTCGGCTTTATAAAACGTAACGTATGAAAAAATTACACGAATAACCCAGAATGTCTGATCTATATATTGCCTTTTGCCAAGGGAACGTATATTCGTATATTCTCACTAACACAAGCGAGAATCTCCATAGCGATCTGTGTTTCCCCAAATCCAGTGCTTGGCCCAACATTTTTCAGGTGTTTGTCCTGTTAAAAAGCTGTTTGAGTCGACAAAAATCATAAACCATCAAAGGTCAATAACATACCTCTACCACAAGAATAGCAAAGTCTCCCATATTTTCGTCTTCCTTATTTATTACAAATTCGGGGTTTGATGACATGTAAGGATCATTTTCAATGTATAATTTGCATAGAGGGTGATTGCTAAATTTTGAAAATGTAACTTGAGGAACCATTGTATTTATTTATCACAAACAGAAGTTACTCACTTGACGCTAAAGGGCCAGTCATTCAGCTGAGCGATACGAAGAAGATCGTCCACAAGTGTATTTGTGTAAGTTTCGCTGGTACCTGTCTTCCGATCACTATTCACGATGACCTTATGCAATTTCTTAAAGAAAGTTCGAACTTTCTTATCCGTAAGTCCATCAACATTTGCAACGCGAAATCTGATATTTGAAAGCATTTCGCCATTAATATCAGGTCGAACATACGCTTCTGGAATGGTGACTGGAAAATATTAAATTATCAGCATTAGGTTGGTGAAAGGACTGCTGACACATTGTGGTAGCTTGTACCTTCAGCATCTGGTATAACAGCGTCCTCGGCTGAGGCTCCAAGGAAGTTCACTCTTAGTGCCTTCACATCGCGTGCTTTTGAAACAGATGCGGAAGAAGGGAGGTCCTCTAGGCCATAACTAGCACTGAGCCAGAGATTTCTAGTGGCTCTCGTCTCTTTCACTTTGTTCTTCTTACAAGAAAGAAATTATGATGTTTTTAGTTGAGGAATTCCAAATAATTTGATTATAACAAAAATATCAAAAGATTAGTTATAACAAAATATTAATTTAATAATTTAATATTAATATTTTAATCAGCTCAATACAGTCTTAAAACTACTTGTTTACAATATTTGAAATATACAGTTAAGAGAAAAAAATAAATTGTTTAAGTGTAAAAAGGTATTTGTTTTATTTATTCTCAAGTTCTGATATATTGAGTTCGAACCCAACTATAACTTATATTTATATATTTTTCATGAAATACAAATATAAAATTAAAAACAAGAAAAGAATATAAAAAATAATTATACTAATTAAAAATAAAATTTCAATTTACTAAATATGAAAAATAGAAAAATAAAGGAAAAAAAGTATAAATCTCAAAGAATTTTAATTGATTAAGTTATATCTACTTGGAATAAATAAGTATAAAAATATAAAAAGCATAAAAAATATAATATATAAAAAGTATAAAAAGTATAAAAATATAAAAGTATATATAAAAAGTATAAAAAGTATAAAAAATATAAATATATAAATATATAAAAAGTATAAAAATATATATATAAAATATAAAAATATATATATAAAATATAAAAATATATATATATAAAATATAAAAAGTATAAAAGTATAAGAGTACAAAGTAAAAAAAATAAAAGTATATAAATATAATAAATAATAATATATAATATAATTGTAAAATATTTTACATGATTTTTATAATTTTATAAAATATTACAAATTATAAAATTAATAATTTTCATAATATAATTGTAATAGTACTATATATATAATATAATATAAATATATTTATATACTATATATATATTATATATAGTATGAATAGATAAGTTTTATTTTTTTTCTAGAATATTAATTTTTACTAGAACAACTAGAATAAATAGATAATAAATATAAAAAAATAAGATAAAAAAAATTTTAAAGTTTTTTTCTATATTGAATTCATTCTAGTTAATTTTTTTACTAGAATAAAACAAGGATAAATTTTTTATTAGAATATAAGCAAATCTATTTTAATTATATTCTAGAATAATAATATTTTTTGATAGTATTTATATAACATACTTGATAGCATAACCAAAATAGTATAACATTATTAATAGCATTTATATAATATACTTGATATACATATTTGATAGTATTAATCAATAATATAATCAAATATTGTATATATAGTATAATTAAATAGTATATATATAACATAATCAGATAATATATATATAGCATGATCAGATAACATATCTTAGATAATATATATATAATATATTTAATAGTATATACTTTGATTATTTGTTTCTAAAAATTAATTAAAAATATTAAACTAATATATAAATATTGTTATCAAATTTGAATTATAATAAAAATTGCAGAAGGATTAGACTAGAATGTCATAATCTAATTCAGATATTATATTCAATAGAAATTAATTAAAAATACTAAGCTAATATATAAAATTTTATATAAATAATTAAAATATTATTAATATTAAATTTTACTTTTTAAAGGATATATAATTTGTCTTAAATAACTTGAATTTTATAATCAATTCATTACTTGAATAACTTGAGTTTTGTGATTCATCTATCACTTAAATAACTTGAGTTTTGTGATTTATTCACCACTCAAATAACTTGAGTTTTGTGATTTACACATTATACCTGATTGATCATAATCTAAACTAAGTAAAAATAATATAATTATATTATTTTTACTATTTTTATTTATATATTATTTTCTTTATGAGATTTAGAACAAGTTTATTAATAATACAAAAAGAGATTTAATAATATTATATTTGAATTCTATTAGTATTTCTAATATCTATATAGATATTCTTGCTAATTTAAATATATTTATAATATTTCATATAATTATATAATATAAGACTAATATATTTAAAGAACAAGTTAAAATAATATTCATATAAAACAGATACTAAATATGATTACTACTTTTACTATAGCACATCTAATAATGATTTTGATAAATCTAATTATTATACAAAAAGTAATTTCAAAGATAAATATATATAATTCTATATTGGCTAATGTCAAATTAATAAAAATGAATTTAAAAAATAGATTTATGACACTTTATAGTTTTTTACATAATTGATATTGGAAATTTTATATAGTTAATAATAATACTAGATTAAAAGAGTTAACTATATATAATTATAATATTAAGTTAAAAAAAATATAAAATACTTGTTCTATAAAGAATATTATTCTTGTAAACTTATAAAAAAATAAATTTTATTCTTTAAATAACTATATTAAAGCTATTAATATTATTATAATATTTTATTTATATAGCAATATATTCAAAAAGAATATATTATTCTTATTATTACCGATTATCTGAACAAATTTATCTTAAAATAGCTATCTTTCATTATATATCTTATCATGATCAATCAAATATTACTAAGAATATTTTGTCTTTTTTTCTATTATAAGTTCGCTATATATTTCTCTTAATAATTATGAATTAATATTTCTTTAATATCAATTTTTTTTTGGAAACAAAAATCTTTTGCACAAAAGTCCAAGTTATAATATATTAATTTTTTTTAGAAATTTCTCATAGTGCTTGATAGAAAATTTTAATAAATGTTGAAGTAAAATTTGAATCCCTGTACAAAGATACTGAATATTTTGCACTTAAAAATCTGCTTGATAATAGGATTTCTCTTATTCTGAATATTTATATTGTGTTTTTTGATCTAATAATTTGAATGCTTACTTAAAATTTTGTTTTCATATATTTTTTAAATTCTATCACAGAAACTATATAAAGATATTAATATTTCTTTCTGATATTTTCTTCTGTGAATTGAATAATCACTTTATTCTAGAGATTATTAAGACTGAACTTTCAAAATTATTAAATATGAATATTATATCAACTAATTATGTTTGGATGATAATGAATTTAGAGAAAACTTCATATATATATATCTATATGGATAGTATATGAATATTCTGTATGAGATATTATGAGTTTGACAAAAAAAGTGACTGTTTCCTTTTGCAATATTTTTCAGAAATTTATATATGTTTATTTTATTATAAAATACTCTTAATGTTTCTATTACAGATTCATCTTCAAAGAAAAAGAAAGCCTGCAATGATATTATTTCACTAGTTGCAATGAAAATGCCAGGTGCACAATTATATCATTTTTCCTTAGGTTTTAGTATCTCACATAAACTGAATCAATTTTATTATTGTGAGACATTTAATTGTTCTATTATTTTGTCTATTAATACAGATATAATTGAAGTTCTAGCTTGTGATCATATGTATTATAAAATTTGTTATAGCTATAATGGATCCAAATGTTTACATTGCATCTCATTTCTACAAGATGGTGTTGACGAACACATCCAATCCTTACTAGAACATTTGTAGCATTTTAATGAACATCAAGTCAAAGAATCTGATGATAATATTCCTTATGATGACAACAATGAAAATGAACTAGTGAAATGTATGGTATTTACATTGAAAGAGGCATTATAAAAATTCCAATTACAATGAACATGGTTTTATTATCATTTTTAACTACAATAGTATAGTTTACTTGAATTTAAAACGTCACCGTTACTTAAAATGATTGCATGTACATTAATTTATGGTATTGAATTACTAAATTTGTATAATCGATCCTTAATCGATCTTACGATGTAGATCTTAAGCAAATTAGCCAATCACACGAAAGTCTTCCTATGTATATGGATGCGTAAATTTTTGATCAGCCTGGCAAAACAAAACCGAAGCGCGAACAAAAAATATGAAAAAATAACGGAAAACAGATGCTTAAATCTATCTTGGTGTACTAATAAAAAATGTCGGGGAGGCAATTTTATATATAAGCTTGATCTTGACTCTAGCCCTAACCCAAATCTTAAGCTTAAAATCAATATCACGTGATGGACCAAGCTTTACATTCTCCAAATATTAGGAAGGTTAAAAATTGGTTCAGTAAAAGTGATCAATAATGCAAGTGTAATTTTGTCGATCCCAAAATACCCTATTGTAATGTTAAAGGTTGCTTTTAAAATTAGGATTAAAGCAAGGATTATTGTAAACTTGCCTCACCAACATTTTTGATTTACAAGTTCTGTTGGTTGTGTTTCGAGATCCGATTATTGCTCTCGATATAGTGGAGCTTGTTACACGAAAAAGTCTTAATACAATGAGTAAATTTTTTCATTTTACAGTGGATAATACGTTATAGTGGATGATTTCAACCATACACTATAAAGAGAACGACGATGTAATGCTTAATAATGTAGTTTATTTTTGCTTAATATACGAATATTTAGGTCTTTGTTCTGTGGCCATACTATAACGATTATTGTGACATGTAAAGCGCCTCATTCTCAACAAATGACTAAACTAAGATGGATTTAAGTATCATGAAAATCAACAAAACTATTCTTTTATGAGAACAATTTTGTTTAGTACAATTTTTAGATTCAATTAAATTCACTGAATCTGATCAAATGTAAAATTTCGTTGGAATTTATAGAATAAAATCAGTTAAATTAAAAAGGTTTCTTACACTAATAAATAAATATTTCCCATCGAAAGTAAATATTGAAGAAAACAATATAGAATAATACGCGAATTAATTTCACATTTCTAAATCTAATTGCATTTAGAACTGCATGCATTCTGGTTTTTAACCGAAATTAACATTTTTTGGCAATATCGAAAATTTCAATAGTAAGCATCTTAGAGATCTGTGTAGAGGATTTAAAATTACAAAATGGTGGCACACAGTAAAGAAATCTCAACCTTATTTATATATGTATCAGATTTTGGTCGAAAACCTTTGAAATTTCAACTAAAAAACACCAGCAATTTACTATGAAAAAAGTTGAGTTACAGGAATTTTGATACTCTCTTTATTCACTTAAAAAACCAGAATTTTATGCTATAGCATAAGATAGCCACTTTTTTAAATTTTGATATTCATTACGTATATATGAATGTTCTACTACATGTACATGACTTGATGCTAGCCAATCAAATAATTATGTTATATTTAAGTATCAAATTTATGAACTAAAATTTTATAACTTCTTCAAAATTAAAGCAAATTAAAAATTTTTTTCTTACCAAGTTGTAGCTTTACTAAGAGCTATCAATCTGTAGGAGGATTTCTTTATTTTAATTCTTGGTTCAAAAATTATAAGGCTTTGTATAAGCATGCGCCAAATTTTTCAACTCACACATAAAAGTAATATTTAAACCATTATAACACTATCAAAAGTAAAAACCAAAAAAATTCCTCTTCCAAAAATATAGCTTTACTTAAAAACTATCAATTTGGAAGAGGGTTTTTTTATTTAACAATTTATTCAAAAGTTATAACACTTTTTGTAAGACAATTAAAATTGTATATCTTATGGAAATATATTTAGTATTTTGTAACAAAAAATATAAGAGTATTTAAGATTATCGACTATTGACACCATAACTTTTCAATATGTTTAGAGCGATTGTTAAAATTAACGAATTGTAAAATTCACATTAAATATATTTAAAAAATCACTTTTGTTGATTTTATAAATTTATCTAGCATATATTATCGAATATATGCAATTGTTCTTATAATCTATACTAAATTGCGAGTATAACCTGAACAGAAACTGATATCAAATGTCTTTCCAAGTATGCTAGTATAAACAATGTAATCAACACTAAGCGAGGATAGACTAGAATGAAGGATTATAATTAAAGAAAATTTGTGAATTTTTATTAGCAATGTCTGGTGTAGCCGGTGCATTGATCAACAAATAAAATGTTCAAGATTCGACGACTACTTACGCTGATATATGTGTGTGTATGAAAATTTTCACTCAGTCAAGATTTTTAGTCGCGAAAGGATTTTTTATTATTCGCTTTCTTCTATAGAGAAACTCTATTTACTATTAAAATCAATAAAAAGTCAACGAAAGTAAGATATTATCAAATAATGCAAATTGAAATTGATGGTAATCGATCTGTGATTATCAATGATGCTTAACGTTAAAAAAATGGCTATTATAAACCAGTAACTACAAGAACCTTTATTTTTTATACATCAACTAAGAAAGAAAAATATAAACAAAAAGAAATCTATTTAATCTTAAACAAAATGCTTATTTTAAACTCTTATCATTATGCTTATTATTTTGTGCTCATCTTATTTATTTGTGGTGTTAGTGCACTTCCTAAACCCAAAATTGATCGTCTTGTAGTAGTTGAAGACATTTCACCCACTCCCGATAAAAACGTAGAGGGAATTTCAGTTACGTTAGTAGAACAGGGAACCTTTGAAGGAAATCTTCCAATGCTCAAATTTAATATCCCGGAATTCGATCTCCCTCACTTTCATAATTTTAAACAAAATCCATTCCACAGACCCATGTTTAATCGACATTCTGGTTTTCATCACATGCATCATAATCAAGATTGGCTTTCTCATGGATTCCCACTTCCTAATCAATTGGAATCTTTGATCGATTTTAGCAACAAGAAACCCGAATTTTTGTTGTCGATGCTCAACTTGTTGACAAACTCCTTAGAAAACAATGTCGCTTTAGATCAAAATGTTTTGACTGAATCTAAAACGTCTCTAACTTTGGATCATGATTTATCACAAGATGATTCCAACTTGGACGATTTGGATACTCCGAATATTGACGATTTACATTTTCCATCAGCTGATCAAACTTTGGTTGACGATAACGATGAATGCTCTCTCGACGATACGAAAATTGAAGAAGATAATTTAGAACCCGATTCTTATCCGACAAAATCATCGTCGTCGATTCCAACTACGACTGATGTGGCGATATGGGGTGCAACTTTTGATCTATTGATCGACTCTCCTCTGATTTCTCAACCTCAGGAAAAACTAACGATGCCGTCTGAAACACACTACTGGGAGACGAGCCGTTCTGAACTTCCGATACGACTAAATCGAATTTTCCACGACATGCTTTATTCTGCTGGCCTATTTGCATTGGTGTTGATTTTGATGCCTATTGCGTCTAAATTTATTCGCGAATATAAGGATAAACGTAATCATTATGCTCCGATGATTTTTTGTGTGAGTGATGAAAAAAAGCTTGAGAAAAAATGATTTTTATTATTCGGGATATTGACAACTTATATTGTCAATATAGGTTATTTACATAAAACTAGAAGTAGTTTGAATGCTTTAATGTTCTATTGATGTATTAATTGTCTATGCTAGTAATAGGTTGAAATCTTATAACTTAATTGAAATTTAAGTTTTCAAAATATAATTATCCTAATCGTTCAAAATATTAATTGTTCAATAAATAATAGAAATTATTTATTGGATCTATCTCTTCAAACTCGTTAAGACATAAATAATTACCAAAAGTTAAATCGTTTTCACTTAAGTAAGGTCCGTTTTCATTCGAATTAATTTCGTTTTCATTCGAATTTATTTCGTTTTCATTCGAATTAATTTCGTTTTCATTCGAATTTATTTCGTTTTCATTCGAATTTATTTCGTTTTCATTCAAATTAATTTCGTTTTCATTCAAATTCAAATTCATTTCGTTTTCATTGGAACTGGGATTAGTGTCCATTTGAGGAGAAACCTTCCAAATTGCCCTATCTCGCTTCGGCTGGTATTTGTAATCTGGATGGAACTTCTTGTGCAAATCCTTTAGTTCCTCGGCTAATGTCTCATATGATTCTTTCTCGTCGTCGGTGGTATTGTTCCAGAGTGCTCCAACGATTTTTGAAATTAAAGGTTGTTCTAAAGTAGCAAAAAAAGAATCTCCCTTCTGTTTCTGTTTCTCAATATTAATAAGCTTTTTAACTACGAGACGAAACAGAATAAAGCTATTTGGAGGTCTTTTGACTTTATTTTCCTTAGTTAAGAACATTTTTTCATTTACACCATAAATTTCATCGATACTAAACGGTACGGGGAATAAGTTGAGATCGGCTCGAAACTTTTCAATATACGATTGATATTCAGAAGTTGCCGCCGAACGTTTTTGATGCGCTATTTTTTTTGCATTTTTTGGTTTGCGAAGCGGGTCGTGTGATTTTTTGGGGTTTGTTGGCTTTCCTTTCATTATGAATACGATTACTCGAACGTTAATATTATTTGGGGGCTTTAAACGCTATCGCTATCTGTGAACCTGTGTACGCTAATCTGTGGATTGTCATCGTGTTTCGGCTCGTATTTATATTTTTTTGGATCGCACAAAAGAAATCTTAAAAGATCGTACCTAACTGCACAGCAAAGAAAATAGAATAATCTACATACGTTCTGATGGTCTTCGGAATTGAAATTGACGTTGTGTTACAAAAAAAAACAAAGTACTGTATATAACAATTACATGTATATATATATATATGAAACCGATACTTATCATCATTATGTATTTAAACATAACAAATATCTCAAAAAGAAATATAGATATTTCTCTCTTGATTTTCTATATCCGAGGCTTGAACTGCGTTTACTTCATATCTACTAAATGATACGTTAAGCGGGAAATTAAATACTTTAAGCATAACGATAACGGAATTCGAATTTGAAAAGTAACAAAGGACAATGAGATATTGCCATTTAAATTTGTTCAAATTTTGAGCTGCAGAACCAATCAACATTCGTCCTTTGTCTCTGTGATCATCATTACATCGTACAGCATTGAATGGGCTAAGTACATGTAATAGAACATGTCAGAAGAAGTTCGTTCTAGTGTGCAAATACATGTATATTGATACTACTACTACTACTACTATTACTATTACTCCTCCGTGTATAAGGGTCAACTTAGCATTCTTTCAAATTTTCTTACATCATATTGATATCGGTTTACGGTCAGACCTCTATGATCACAATCTCTTATACTTGTACTCGCGCATTTTTTGCTACCATAAAAAGAACTCTTTATAATTGCACTTTTTAGTAATGATACGAAATTCAGATGATAATAAAGTAACATTTTATTATAATAATTTTTGGAGTTGGGAATACTAAAAAAATATCCTTTGAAGTTAACGCCGCCGATCTTCTTCAAATTGACATAAATCAGTAAAATCTTGTTCATCAAATAATATTTTACAGAAAAATGCTGACGCTAGGTATGCTCATTAACAAACACACTGGTGAATTTCACTTCTGAGGTTATCGTTATGATAAAAACAAACTTCGTTTGTAACGATAGCAAAAAAGCATTTAAAGATTATACACTATTTAGGTATTGTATGGAAAAATAAACATACAAAAATACTTAATTATTTATAAACTATTGCTATCCTCTGAATTCGTACTTAACATTAACCATAACCCTAACGCTAATCATACAATACCAAAATGCTTAATCAACCATACTTAAATCAATAGTGATAGCGATAGTTATCACTTATCTAAAACGGTTAACTTATGTCATTGTGAGACGATCAAAACGTTGTTACACTACTGAATGCATGTATTATTGTATAATGTGAAATGGACATAATAAAGAATATAATAATGCTTATAATGATGATAATGAATAACAAATACGTAACGATAATAACTACGTGGTTAGTGTCTTATCGTTATCGGGTATATTTCAGCATAATACGTACAATGAACGATTCTTCGAGTTTTCTATCTTTATTATTTAAAAATTTTAAACCCATCTTTTGAATTTTCGTTACACAAGATCGCACAATCTTTTGAAAACAGAAAAATTTAATTTAACTCTTTCAAGAGAGACAATTTAGCTAATACTAATGACGTTTCTGCTCGAAATTGTACATGATAACAAGTAATTGTAATACAAAAAAAACTGAGTGAGAAAGTAAAATTCTTAACGTGTCGTGTAACAACATCGATATGTATGTATGCTGCTTATTATTGTGAGACAAACTTAAGATTAGCATATACTAATATAAAAAATTAACGTTAACGTTAATGATGCGCCGAGCTTATACAGGGGTTTAAATGTTCGTGAGTATAATATTACATAGGGATAGAGATAATATATATTTATTTACACAAAATTACATGTATAAGGATAAAGAAATTGTTCATATAAATGTTGCTCATTCATTGGGTAACTACATGCAAGTTGTTGATCGTCTAAGGTACTTTCTGACCCTGAATCAAAGATAAAACTTGAATCGCTGCTTGTAGGGCTTAAACTAAAAAATTCAGTTATGTCAGTTGGTGCGACTTCAGTTGATGGTGTGACTTCAGTTGATGGTGTGACTTCACTTTGTGTGACTCCAGAAATTGTGGGAAAGATTTCTTGTGGTTCTTGTTGAGCATGTGAATCAAATTTAACAACTTTGAAAATTGCTTTGCCTCTCTTTGGTGTATATTTCCAATCAGGATGCAATTTTTTATGTAATTCATTCACTTGACTACATTTTTCTTGATAAGAAGATTTCTCGAGTGGAGAGGAAGAAGTCCACAGTGCACCGAGAATCTTCGAAAGTAGTGGCTGATCCAAATTATCGAAAAATTGTCGTTCTTCAGCAGACATTGCGGTAGTTTTAATCGAATTAATTGTAATTTGACGAAAGAAAATAAAGCAGTTAGGTGGTCTTTTAATCTTCTCGTCAGCTTTACGAAAAAGGTTTTTATTCTCAGGATTGAAGATTTCGTTCAATTTCTCCAACGTGTAGGGAATTGGAAACAATTGCAAAATTTCTCTTATTCTTTCAATTTTGTCTTTGTAAATCATTGCATTATCGTTGTCCTTTTTCTTGCTTATAGGGTTTTTTGTGGTTCTCTTTGGATTGTTGAGTTTAGATGAATTGACATTTTTGTTGTTGTTGGTTACTTTCATTTTTGGTCTGTGTATGCTAGTTTAACTAAGTTTTTTCGCTGAGTTCTGATTTCTCTAATTAACCTTGTTTCAAATGGGTGATTTGTTTTCTGTCCTGGAAGAAAAACGCGCAATATTTATAGTTTTCGAAAAATATATTGTATATACCTTCTGTATATAATCGATGCGTATATAATTTTTAATTTGACAAGTGTAACAACTAACGGTAGTGTAGTTTCTTTTGAGAGCTCTTCATCGAACAATTGAACAAATTGGACCAATTGGAAAACGGACCATAAATTTGAAGTACCGATGTACACATATATGTAATGCATGTATATCGATATGTATGTAAATGGAATACAGATTGGAATTTGGAAGTTTCAGTTGTCAATAAATGCTAATTGTCATTGTTATAAATTAACAGTGGACACTTGGTCAAATATGTGAGTTCATTTGAAAATGTATTGTCGGTATAAATATATTTCTCAAGTTTTAAATATTTTATCTGTTTTATTTTTACATTCATTTATGTTAATGCTTAGAAAATTCGAATTAAAAAAAATCTTTCGACTTCCCGATGGCTTAGTTTACAAGCAAATTTTCACGATAATCAAATAAACTAATATTTAATTTTAATTTGAAAAGTATTCCAAGAATTAATTATCTAAAGGCTCTTGTTTAATTTCACGTGACAATTATCTCCTCGTTGTCGTTGCTATTTTTTTCGTTGTTGTGGTTTTTGTTGAGTATGCGAATCGAACTGCATGAATTTAAAGATATTTTTATTTCGGCTTGGCGTGTTTTCCATTCCGGATGCAATGATTTGTGTAGTGATTTTAATTGTTCACATAACTCTACGTATGGTAACCTTTCGGAAGTACTGGCTGAATTCCAAAGTGCACCGAAAATCTTTGAGAACATTGGCTGGTCCAAATTCTCGAAAAATAGTCGGTCGTTAGCAGACCTTTTCGTCTCTCGTATCTGCATTATCGCTACTTGACGAAAGAACAAAAAAGCATTAGGAGGTCTTTTGATCTTTTGTTCCTCTTTGATAAAAAGTTTATTGTCAGTGAGATCGAAAATTTGCTCTAGTGTATAAGGAACTGGAAACAGCGTTAGAAGACGTCGAATATTTTCGATTTCTGGTTCGTACGGAGAACTTCTTTTGGACAGTGAACTTTTGATAGGTCGGCTATTATGCGACAATGTTAATTTTTTTTTGTGTTTAATTACTTTGGCTTTCATCCTTCTGAAAGTGAATGTTCGATAGATTTTGCGGAGACTTTATTCCAACGCACATACGACTAACGCTAGCCAGTATTTATTATGAGAATAGTTTGATGATCAGCTAACCTATCATTTTTCAGAATTTAAAACAAAGTAGATTAGCAAAATGAATGTTCAATTTAAAGATTGCCGGAGCTTATATACGTGAATGCGGAATGTTCATACCCCTTCTTTTCTAGATTGTACATGTGCTACATAATTAAAACACACGTACTCCGGTTATATTAACGTTAATGAATTGCTATAATGATATCTTTATCGTTATGGAAAGAAACACATGTAAGAAGATTAACCCCCGTTTACATGCATCGCGTAACGGTAATTTTTTTATATACATGTTTTTATATACATGCACATGTAGTGGCGATTCTGGAGTTACGTATTCCAATTGGTTGCATAGTATATGTATATAAAACTACGCTATACGTATGGTGCATAACATCTAAAGTCATCAAACGTTTGTGTTTTATAAAATGTATAAACTTCTTTACAAAGAAGTAAATACAAATTTTAATCCGTGAATATGATAGAATAGGCCCTTTCTGAGCATATTCACGGATTAAATTTTGTATTTACTTCTTTGTAAAGAAGTTTATATATTTTATAAAACACAAACGTTTGATGACTTTAGATGTTATGCACCATAGTTGCTATGCTAAATTGCCATAGCGATAGATGATGGAACACTTTTTCAAAAAGTGTATCTCGCTCATAATATTTATGAATGGTTTAAAAAAATTCAAAATGTTTCAATATTTTTTTATTCAAATGCTTAAAAGAGAAATGCACAATTATTATTAGCATAAAACTGATAGTACATCATATAATTTGTAAACATTGAAAAAATAGGTACATATAATCAGATAAGTATCATAATAAAACTGGGATAATAACAATTAAAGTAAATTACAGGGGTTTTGAGTTGTCATAAAAGTCTATCTCAATGCGTGAACTCTGAAAGTTGCCCTAGTTCTGGTTTGCTTGGATTTCCAGTCAGGGTATTTCTCTTTATGCATGGATGTTATTCTTTGTTTAAGTTCACGATAAATTTGTTGGTCTTCCTCTGAAAATTTATTCCATATTTCGGCACTCACTTTTGAGAGAATTTTTTGATTCTTAATCTTATTTAGGTTTTCGGGAATTTCATTGGTTCTCAATTGGCTTCTTATAAATGCCTGAAATATCATAAAGCTATTTGGTGGTTTTTTTACATTTCTATCTTTTCCTAACGCTAGGAGGTTTTCACAAAGATCATTCGCAGAACTTTCACAAGGATATAATTCAAAAAGTTCGCGAAAGCGTTTCACTAAGTCGGAAATTTCACTTATATTCTTACACATCGTTAAAAATGTATTTTTTGGTCTGTGATTTTTCGATTCATTTTATAGACGAAAATGAGTAGCGGAGGTTCTAAAAATAAACATTTTTAAGTGACGGATTCTCAATTACAGAAAAGCGAAGCATTCAACCTTTTTACACAAATCAGATGTTATTAAAAATAAAAAAACTATTCTTCTGGAATTCTTATCGTTACTGAAACCGCGCATCGCTTTTTGAACAAAAGGTTTAATCACTCTTATGCTGCGCAATTTTTTGTTCACCAAAACCGTTATCATGGAAATCCAAAAAATAATTTATGAAGTTGTTCGGCATGCACTTTGTAGAAAGAAGCTTCTGGCTGGAAAGAAATCTTCCGCAAAAGTAACTTGATTTGTTCTAGCAGTTGACTTTATTTTTAAATGATATCAATTGCATATTTGGATGTTCTATTGAGTTGAGTGTGCAGTTTTTCGTTTAACGGTTTAACGGGCGGACCACATGCATATAACAATAAAGAAAATTCTATTTGGTTGCATACGAATTGGAAAAAGCCTAACACTAAATGCACTACGTATTATAAATTCTACTGTAACATGTAGAGTCATGGAGGGACAACATATTAATCACTTTGTCATATAAGACAAAGAATTACAGGGTAAAAGATCCCATGTAATATTGTGCGGTATGATTACGTATTGGTATGTATCGGACTGGTGTGGCCTAAATATGGTTTTAAATATGTTTGTTATAATTAATTAAATTATTTTATATAGAAAGGACTATATTTTAAAACAAGTCCGATCCATTATGATATATACTATGCATAAACTGCGTATATAGTAATTATTTTTTAAGACAGAATCCGATCCATTATTATACATGTTTGATTTTAAGACAAAAACGCGTTAAATATATTGAACATTATGATGTCAACAGTCTTTATTTTTACCACAAAATGGTGAATATATTTACATACGATTTCTTGTTTTGTTAAGTGAATAGAGGTATAATAAGTCATAAAAACTATCACTGTAAAAACCTCAAAGTATTTCATAGTAAATTGCCGGTAATTTAGTTGAAATTTAAAGGTTTTATTATTCTTCAACTATCATTCTATATTTTTTTTCAATGTTTCTTTTAATAAGAAATATTCATTAGTGTATAAAACCTTTTTAATTTAATTGATAATTCATGAATGAATTAATTCTATCTGAAGTAGCGAAATCTTTTAATTTTCAACTAAATAACTTGAAAATTTTTATTAAAAAACTTTTGAGATTTAAGCTTTGTTTCTTACTTAATATATATTTTAGTGATGGAGTTGATATTTTTTGATATATCAAGATTTATGTTGCATAATTTTTGATTATCAAAAAATTTAGTTTAAAATTATGCAATTTTTTCAGATTTTGAAATTTCTAGCTTTAATACCGCAAAATTTTAATAATACTTTTACAAATTTTTTTAAGATATGTTATGAGCTTTTTAGCGTACAATTTTATTAGGTCGAGAAATTGTAAGCAATCATATACAGCAGCTTACAAAAGCCATGCACCACTTTCAAAATTTACCATTAAAACATAATTGAAATTGAATATTTTATTTTATTGATAAAAGAAATTGTTTCGCGATTAGAAAATTTCTTTGGATTAAATGAAAAAATTATTTTGATATAAAAATTTTTATTTTGGTCATTAAAATAAAATATTTAATTTTATTATGTTTTAATAGTAAATTTTGAAAGTGATGCATTACTTCTGTAAGTTACCGTATATTCTATAGAATCCAATGAAATTTACATTTGATCAGATTTCAGTGAATTTAATTGAATACATGCTACAAATCTAAAAATTGTACTAAAAAATATTTTCATTAGCTGTCCATAAAAAGTAAATTTCCATTCCTCCAACAGAATGAGAAATTTTATATATGCATGTGCATAGAACTCTACTTACATATGCAGTAGGTATTGCAGAAACTTTATTTGTCGTTAACGTTAATATGAATACAATACATGCATAAATGGTACAGTATTTAAAATTGATATCTTGTGTAAAATTTGAAGCATGCTACACAAAATCAAGTGTAATGCAAGCAGTACAAGTAATGGAAGATGTTGATTTTGAATAAAACTCAAATATTTATATTAACGTTAACAGTAACAATAATAAGAATAATAATAATAGTAATAATAATAATAATAGTAATAATAGTAGTAGTAGTAGTAGTAGTAGTAATAATAATAATAATAATAATAATAATAATAATAATAATAATAATAATAATAATAATAATA